GCCGGGTGGACGGCGACTTCCTGGAGGCGGTGAAGCGGCACATCTTGAGCCGCCTGCAGATGCGGGGCCGGCCCAACATCACGCACGCTGTGCCCAAGGCCGCCATGGTCACGGCGCTGCGAAAGCTGCACGCGGGCAAGGTGCGCGAGGACGGCCGTGTGGAGATCCCGCACCTCGACGGCCACGCCAGCCCGGGCGCCGACGGCCAGGAGCGCGTCTCCGAAATCATCAGCTTCGCCGAGACAGGTGAGTGGGCCCCGCGGGCCGCTAGCGTGGCCCTTGATGGCTCCCCTGCCCCCTCCGCGCTCCCTCCCCTGCTCGGACTCCGGGCCGGGCCGCTCGCCCCTGGCCCCGCGCGCTCCGGCCCGGTCGCCGCTTCCTANAGGTCCTCGCCTGCTCCCCCCGCCCCCGCCGCGGAACGCCTGCCCTGCACCCCTGCTCTCCCGATGCCAACCCCGCGCCTCCGGGCGTGCGCACCCCTCCCGGCAGATGCGTGCGGCCCTGGCTCCGCGGGCACTTGCTTGGTGATTGCTTAATGTTTTTGTTTCCCACGATCGGAGTGTAGGCTTAGCAGTGTGGCTGGAGATGTGTGTGCTTGTTGATATCCGTGGGCCGGAGGAGTGAGAGTGTGTGTGTGTGTGTGTGTGTGTGTGTGTGCCTGCGTGAGAGGCCCCGGGGCTGCTTCCATCACCGGGCGGCGGCGTGGGCTTGCCAGGATTGCTGAAGCCTCACTAGGGAGAGCTAGGCAACCTCTCTTCCGATTGTGTGGGCACCGGAATCGAGCGGAAGGCAAGCTTCTCAACAGGTCCCATCATTTACGCAGAGAAAGACGCGGCTCAGGGACAGCCCCATCCATGCCTTTGGGCTCGCCTGGCAGCCGCGGCAGCCCCTTCCACTGAGAGCCCCAGAGTTTGTAGTTAACAAAGGGTGGGAGTCCTTTCTGGAATTTTCCCGTGGCCCTGGATTGCAAATTGCTACCACTGTCTAAATGTAAAAAAATCAAAATAGAAAAAAAAAATTTTTTTTCCCGAACTTTAAAAGAGGGAGAAAAATGTGCCCCCGTTGAAATGCTGCAAGTGTTTTCGAGTCCGCTGTCCTTTTCAGGACTTCAATGAGCCAGGCTGGCTTTTGTGCCTGAGGCTCAGCCCCACTTGCACGGAGGGGACTACGGAGTAGGGAGAAGAGGGGGAAGGAAGCCCTGGTATGGTCAGGGTGGGGGTGGGCAGGGAGCCTAGGATGGGGAGTGGTGGTGTCCAGGCTGCAGTTGCCCCCACCCTCCCGGCAGCAGGCAGACTGGGCTGGTACTGCCCTGGGATGAAAAGGGATGAGAAGTTTTGCATGGCCGGGTGTGGAGAAAAGCAGAGACAATCGGGGCTGGTCTGTGCTTAGAAAGAAACGCATTGCTGTTTTAGCTATCCAGCCGAGTGGGGAAGCTCGACATGCAATTAGAGAGCTTGGATTAAAAGGTGCTTTGGGGCCCAGAGTAGAAATGTGATTCTGGAAGGTCGAGGAGGCCTTTTGGTCCCCGTGGCACAAAATGACAGCGGGGGCTGTTATATTTCTGGTCCATTTCGTGGAGCCAGCTCTTTGACTTATAAATAACAGATTCAGGTCACAGGCAGCTCGTCCAAGACCAGCTTTTAAGGCTGCACTTTCCCCCATTTCAAAGTCAGATGTCAGTGTTATTAGAGGAGCCAGGCGAGGGCTGAGGAGGGGGCTGTGGTGGGGGGAGAGACTGGTAGGAGGTTTGATAAAACCAGCCATGGCCGTAGAGTTACTTTATTTGTTCTTCCTGGAAAAAAGAAAGAAAGTAGAGATTGTCAGAGAGAAGAGTTGCTAAAATGTAGGATAAGAGAGGAGTCATCTCTGGGTTGGCATGGGCTCTCTTCTTATTGAGCTGAGTTACTGAGAAAACTAACATGCCAGTTCCCCTTTCCTTGGAGATTTTGAATGTGTCATTAACCGGGAGCCCGGGTCTCATCAAAGGAGTGGACCTCAAGCGTCAAGGCCGAATGTCCTATCCCTTGGAACTAACTGCTCGGAAACGAGGGCTGCGCTTTGCAGTCTGCAAAGCACACTTTCCTGTGTCAGAAATATGAGCAGGGCTTGCTTGTTTGCAGTGGAGGTCCCAGTGGGGGTTGGATCAGATGTGCTTAGGTAAACACTGGAAAGAGGCAGTAGGTGGCTCGGCTGGATTTTGCAATGTCCTAAGTTAACCAAAAAAAAAAAAAAAAAAAATCAAACAAAAAAACGCCCACTTTACTAAAACAACCCACCCCCAAATCTTCGGTGTGATCCTGGTTTTGTTTTTTAGATTTCGCAGATACCCATAACAACTTGTTAAGATCTTGGCCTCCTGACAAGTTCCTCTGTGGAGCTTTGAGGCCTGACAGCCTGTCTCCAGGGAGCCCTGGCCTGGGAGAGGTGAGGCAGGATTTTATAGGCCTGGCCCTCTCAGCTCTAACCTGGTCCACGTTTCTCAATGAGAAACGATTTTCTCTGCCTCTCCCAGGTTATAGTCAGAGGCCTTGGCCCCAGGAACGGTATTTCTGGTCAATAACATCTTCCAGCTGCGCGAGTTCGCATTCCAGCGGCATGCAGCAGAGTCTCTTTCCCCCATTGCCTCGTGTTCTCCTGGAATTAACTTGGCCCGCTCTCCCGCTTCTCCGCAGATGGCCTCGCCTCCTCCCGCGTCCGCCTCTACTTCTTTATCTCCAATGAAGGCAACCAGAACCTGTTTGTGGTCCAGGCCAGCCTGTGGCTTTACCTGAAGCTGCTGCCCTACGTCCTGGAGAAGGGCAATCGGAGAAAGGTGCGGGTCAAGGTGTACTACCAGGAGCAGGGCCACGCGGACCGCTGGAGTGTGGTGGAGAAGAGGGTGGACCTCAAACGCAGCGGCTGGCACACCTTCCCGCTCACAGAGGCCATCCAGGCCCTGTTCGAGCGGGGTGAGCGGCGACTCAACCTGGACGTGCAGTGTGATGGCTGCCAGGAGCTGGCTGTGGTGCCCGTGTTCGTGGACCCCGGCGAGGAGTCGCACCGGCCCTTTGTGGTTGTGCAGGCCCGGCTGGGTGACAGCAGACACCGCATTCGCAAGCGGGGCCTGGAGTGCGATGGCCGGACCAACCTCTGTTGCAGGCAACAGTTCTTCATCGACTTCCGCCTCATCGGCTGGAACGACTGGATCATCGCGCCCACCGGCTACTACGGGAACTACTGTGAGGGCAGCTGCCCGGCCTACCTGGCGGGGGTCCCGGGCTCGGCCTCCTCCTTCCACACGGCCGTGGTGAACCAGTACCGCATGCGGGGCCTGAATCCCGGCACGGTGAACTCCTGCTGCATCCCCACCAAGCTGAGCACCATGTCCATGCTCTACTTCGACGACGAGTACAACATCGTCAAGCGGGACGTGCCCAACATGATCGTGGAGGAGTGTGGCTGCGCCTGACGCACGGGGCTGTGGCGGCGGGGCGCCAGGACAGTGCTGGATGGGCTTCTCGCAGCCCCTACCGGAAAGGGGCGCGCGGCGGGCTGAGTGCTGTTGTTCCGTTGGGCTGCCCAGAAGGTGCCAGGGTGACGCCTGAAATATTTTTCTACTTCTTCATTCAGCAATCAGTCAAAAGCAGAGCAAGAACCCTGAACTGACATGAAATACTTTAAAATGCACACGTAGACACGCACAGCCAGACGCATCCTGCCACCCACACAGCAGCCTCCAGGATACCAGCAAATGGATGCGGTGACAAATGGCAGCTTAGCTACAAATGCCTGTCAGTTGGAGAGAATGGGGTGAGCAGCCACCATTCCCACCAGCTGGCCCGACCACTCTGAATTGCGCCTTCGGAGCACACATAAAAGCACAAAGACAGACATGCGCACACACACACAACACACACACACACCACACACACACACGCACACACATGGAGGGGGAGAGTACGAGAGCACCGAAGCCACCACTGAAGCCAGCCACCCAGGAAAGCAGATGCGGGGTCTGGGGAGTGTGCAGGCAGGCAGAGGGGCTGCGTGGCTCCCTTTGCTTGTGCAAGACCTGCTGTGCCTCGGCATCTCCTGGCTCAAGCCTGTCACTTCCTCCCCTGCCTGGATTCTTCATGCTGCAGGACCAGGGGAGCCTGTCCGTTCCTTCTCAGAGAGGGAAGGAGCCCCAGAAAGCACACAACCTGCCAGAGACCGTGGAGCAGTGGCAGTGACCCTTTGACTTGCTTGGGTCCCTGGCGTGACTTATATGTGTGTGTGTTTGGGGGGTGGGAAGGGAGGGAGAGGAGAAGGGTCTTAATTTGATGCTTTAACTGATCACTAGCAGTTGACAGGTCATTCATTCCAGTTGCATAATTGAAAAGGGACTTGATCTTTTAAGTTAAAATCTGGATTGTTCTAAATGGGAAGAAAACAGTTGCAGTCTGTGCCCTTCACTGGGGATATTTCTCTAGGACTGGTTGGGGAGGGGTAGAAATGACCCCTAGACAAAGTCATGAGCCCAGAGGAGGGACTGGTGGGGTGGAGGCATTCTGGGAATGCTGGGTGGTGGTGGGGTGCCCCCTCAGCATGGGGCAGGGGAGGGGGAATGGTTTAGCTGGTCTTGAAGAGATGGGGAAGGCTTTCAGCTGCTTTGCAGAAGTTGCCAGTGTGGGCCCTGGCCACCAGGGCCGGCCATGGACGTGGCCCCCGCCCGCTCGCCTGCCCGCCAGCCCCTCCTAGCACTTGCAGACCTGCAGAGCGCACATGATATAGCACTTGCCCATCTGCGTGTGTCCAGAAGTGGCCCTTGGCAGAGCACTGAACTCGCTCACCCCAAGGTGTCCAAGTGCCGCGTGAACTATGCAATTTAAAGGGTTGACCCACACTAGACAAAACTGGACTCGTACGACTCTTTTTATATTTTTTATACTTGAAATGAAATCCTTTGCTTCTTTTTAAAGCGAATGATTGCTTTTAATGTTTGCACTGATTTAGTTGCATGATTAGTCAGAAACTGCCATTTGAAAAAAGAAGTTATTTTTATAGCAGCAAAACAATACAGTTAAATGTATTATACATAATTTTGGAACCAAAGAGGCCAGCAGATCAGTTTTAATTTTTATTAGATGGTGAGGCCATCTTCTATGAGGTAGACGTTCTGAACAATCCCTTGAGTGGCCTGCCAGCGTTTCAGGGTATCTATGGATTTTGTTTGTTCAGTTTCATGAGTCTTTTCCATCCCCACACACCCAGAAGGTAGAGTAAAAATGACTGTGGTAGAATGCAGGTGTGTATTTTTAAATCCCCATCTTTATGTTTATTTAATAAAGCTCCCCTTAGGTTCTGTTTCATAATAATTTAAAACCAAACAATTTTCCCATAGACTTGCTGTTAAAGTATTTTACATTTGTGTACAGTTTAAGAAAATAAAAGATTGAGTGCCACTGGCTTCCTGCATTGTGTGATGTCTGGGGTGGGGGCTGGAGGTGGCCGCCCGGAGGCGGGAGAGTCTAGGTGCCCAGCTTTGAGGCCAGTTGCCTCATGACTCGGTCCTGGCACTCGGTCCCGCCGTGAGCACCATGTCAGGAAAAATGGCAGGAGATCAAAATGAAGGACAATTAGCAAATTCATGAATTACACGTTTGTTTACCCTTCTAGTCTCAAGACTATGTTTCACCAAGACTGCATCTATCATCTGAAAGTGCTGGTTAAGCCCCCGTCCCTGGGAGGAAATGTAAAGTCTGGGAGACTGCAGCCCACCGGACCTCCATGCCCCCCTCCATGCACTGACCGGGACCAGAGGGGAACAATACCTTGGGGTAGAAGGGTACCCAGATGAGGCAGAGGGCACGCTAAGTGTCCTCTGCTGTGGGGTTGTAACTGGTGGTAGGTGGTGATGGGGGTTGATGGTCCAAACTGCACCTGCAGCTGTGACGAGCTGCCCACAGGTGTTCTCAGCCTGCAGCCTTCACGTCGTGCTTTTCTGGGAAATGGTCCGTTCTTCATTTCCAGGGTTTGGAATCTGAAGCTCAGAAGGGTTCAGAGCTTGCCTGAGGTCACACAGTTGGGACAGGCACCCTGGGCACTTGAGCCCAGATGCCATGGCTGGTCCACCTGTTCCCCCGGGAAGATGGCAGCCCCAAGGCCTTGCCTTCATCTGAGACATACAGGGCCAGTGGGGCTGCTTGTTTTGGGTCACATGTAGTCTTTCCAGAAAATCTGAGGACCTTCGACCAGCCCTAGTAAGTTAACGATGGGGAAACTGAAGGAGGCCCCAGGCAGCTGGAGGGGAATATCTTAATTCACACAGCCAGCTGGTGGCAGGAGGTGGCCTCTGGCCTCTGTCTTTTCCATTCTTTGCTTAATCAAGAGAGCTACTGCTCTCCCAGGCGCTCATCCTGCAGGCTGGATTTATTGATCCACATTATAAAAATTAATAGGGTCAAACAAGGACATGGCATTTAGACAGGCCTGCCCCTCTACTCTGCAGTGGGCTAGGCCCAGTAGCTGGTTGCCCTAGGCCCCCAACCCAGCTACTGCCCCAGCCCTGGCCTGGAAGTTTTGCAGGCAGCTTCCAGGAGGGGCAGCGTGTGTCACCAGGGGTGCCTCTGCTGTTTGGATATTGAGCACCTCTAGGGGCCTCTTGGGCTGAGCTTCAGCCCCAGGGAGGGTCTGGGACTCCGGGGTTATGGGGCCAGTGGGCTGGCAGATGTGGTCCCTGGGTGACAGTCTGCTGCCCTGTGCTGGCATGTGTCCCTGTGGGGTCTGGGCCCCCTGAGGCAATGGTGCATGGCAATCACTATTCCTGAGAAGTGGAGCAGGGACAGGCGTGTGCTCCCTATCCCAGGTCTGGGTGTTCTCCAGGAGGCTCGTGAGCTTCCTTCCTGGGCATCTGTGGTCACTGGCTCCCCTGTGCCTCTTTCTCACTCAGTCTTTTTCCCCATTGCTTTCCCTTCTCCCCTTTCCTCTAACCAATGGGCCTGCTGGAGGGTCCCAGCTCTCCCCAAAGATGCCCTGGAGCCCCACTGCAGGCCTCGAGAGTAAGCCTCCCCACTGCCCCCCAGGTCTAGGCCTCTGACCCAGAGCCCCCCTGCTCTGCTTTAGGGTTCCTCTCCCCTCCTTCCTCAGGCCAACAGGCTGTTAGCCTCTCGCGGACCAGTGGGTCAGGCAGGGCCAGACGGAGACAGAGGCTGCCACCCTCACCTGCCACAAATATCTCCACCACCCACTCTCTGGGATTCATGAGATCCCACCATGCCAGGTTTATCCTGGGCTGACCTTCAGACATGCCCTGGGTCCTCAGTGATTCAGTTTGATGAGTCTTTTCTATCCCCACACACCCAGAAGTTAGAGTAAAAATGACTATGGTAGAATGCAGGTGTGTATTTTTAAATCCCCATCTTTATGTTTATTTAATAAAGCTCCCGTTAGATTCTGTTTCATAATAATTCAGTGGGGTCCAAGGCTGGGTGGGGAAGGTGAATGCTGGGGTAAGCGGATCCCCAGACAGGCCGAGGGTCTCTCAGGTCCAGCAGCCCCCGCCCAGGGTGTGGGGGAGGGACTCTGGCAGCTCTTGCATGTGACTGGGCCCCTGACCCAAGTGGAACTCAGGGTGGCCTAGCACATGTCTAGCACACTCTGCAAGGCCCTGTGGGACTCTTGCTGGAGACCCCAAGGTGCCCAGCAGGCCCTTCCACCTCGCGGAACCCTGCAGCTGCCCAGGCCTCCTGCGAGGGCAAGACCAGGCGGCCAGGGGGAGGGGTGTCCACAGGCTGCTGTCAAGCCACGGACACTGCTGTGGGCCCAAGAAAGTGCACCTTTGTAGGCAAAGAAGCAGAAACAAAACACCCTTCTTGTGGGCAGAGGCCCTGGGAGCAACCCCAGCCCAGTTACTAGACTTTCACTGGGATGTTTTAAGCAAATGACAAATTACCTGTGAGCTTTGTGAGAGGAGCCAGGCCAGCTGTATGTGAGGCATGGGGCGGGCATGGCAGGCTCTGGGCATGGCAGGCTCTGGGTGCACTTGGCTGTGCAGGGGGTGGGGATGGCTGTGAGTGGGAGTGGGGGGAATTGTGGATGAGGTTGAGTGATGTGCTGTTTTGTGACTGTAGGTATGACTGTATGCTGAGCGTGGGGGGGGGGGGAGACTGTGACTGTGGCTGCGAATGATTGGCTGTGTGTGAGTTTGGAGTGTGTAGTTGGCCGTCTCTGAGGTTTTGTGGGTGAGTGAGACTACATGGTTGGCTGTGTGTATTTCTTGCCGTTTTCATTTTTTTCCTAATCTAGAAGTGATGCACCTGGCCAGTTATGGACTCTGATTGGGGTAGATTTTTAAATTTGAGCCATTGCTTGCAATCCCCCTGGTTACTCTCATGCTGGGCAGGTGCTGGGTGAGCTGGGCAGGGCAGGGGCACCATTTCTTTGGCCTGTGTGGTTGCCCTTAATGCTCAGGGGTCACCATGGTGTCCCTGCAGCCCCAAAGCCAAAGCACTTTGAAAGTGGAATGTTACCCTCTGGTCAGGCATTCAGTCACTCAGCAAACATTTCCTATGTGCTGAGAGATCACATGTCATCTCAGTTTAGTCCTCACAACAGCCTGGGGGTTCAGGGGAGTAGGTATCATTATCCCCATTTTATAGATGAGAAAATTAAGGCAGAGGAAGCGGATCACTGAAGGTGACACAGCTCATAAGTGGCAGAGCTGGATTTGCCCCCAGGAGCTCTTCCAAAGACACTTACAGCTACCAGTCTGCCCAGGAGGGAGGGTAAGGGCAGACACGGCTGTTTGGGGCTTCCTG